ATATTATCCATAGCGTACATGTTAGGCCCACTTGCTCTTCACTCCGACCTCGTTTGGTCACGTCGGCATAACATCGATAACACCGACAAGGGGGTTGATTAAGCTCCACGGGTGAGTTTCGACATGAAAATTAATTTGATGAATGAAAATTGATTTGATAAATCATTGTTTCGCATCTTTAAATTTGATGCATGATTTCACGACCACAATAATGATACTCGTCGCCTGCCTCGTCGAAACCCTCGTAGCCCCAACCGGACCCCAACCGCCGATGGCCCACGTTTTGGATCATCGAGCTGTAGGGATGGCGGCAACTTGATCAGGTGCATTCTCTCTTTCCCAATCTTGATGTGGATCTGTTGTGTTTTCTTGGGTTCTTTATGGTTCTGAGATGTTATCGGGGGTGTTCTTTAGTTGTGTTTTCGCCGCCTTCTTAAGGCCCCCAACGGTAGATGGTCCACGTTTTGGATCATCAAGCTGTAGCGATGGCGACTACTTGATCAGGTGAGGTGCGTCCTCTCTTCCCAATCTTGATGTGGATCTGGTTGTGTTTTCTCGAGTTCTTTATGGTTGTTGGGGCTGTTCTTGAGTTCTTGTGTTTTCGCCGCCCTCTAAGGGCCCCCAACCGGATCCCAACCATATGTAGCGATGGCGGCTACTTGATCAGGTGCATTCTCTCTTCCCAATCTTGTGTGGATCTGGTTGTGTTTTCTTAGGTTCTTTATGGTGCTGAGATGTTATTGAGGCTGTTATCTAAGGAAGTGGAGGTTGCCAAGAGATGCATAATTAATGATCATTTGCTCTTGTTTACATCAACCAAAGCGCGTGTAACCTACTACGCCATGCCGGTGAGTACCAAATTATGCCTCGACTGTCACCAAGATATTGGTATATTATGTGGATTTATGCCAGCTTATCATGTCTTGTGTATGCATCTTTACAGAGTCCGTGCAACAAAATATAGACTGCTACTAGGTAGAATCATGATTGCTCTAGGCATGCCAAACCTTGCAAATGATCATGACAACATTTACGATTTAGTTGTTTGATATTTGCTGCAGAGAAACAAAGGAGAGCTTTGGAGTAATGTTGGAATTTGGAAGAAGATACTATATTCATTTATGAATATATATTATTTATTAATGCAAAATGATAACTGAAGTTTATTCCACAGTGATCAGCATTACAAAGTAAATGAAAGATATAAACGCTGATCTTATTGCTAGCAAACTAGTTTGAAATTAAATCTTCATTCTTTTAGTTAAAGGCTATCATGGCTGCTTGTTTACATAATATACAATTGAATTTACAAAGGGTCAGCCCATGATCAACACCATAAATGCTCATCTTAGGTAGGATGCCCATCCAATGCAGTCATATCAGGCTTTGGCAACCAAGTTGTTGGAATTGTTGGAATGGTGGATGCTTAATTTGATCCCTGCAGCACTGCAGGCAAATGATCTTTGTCAGTCTATATACTTTGATTAGCAAATAATCTGCTTATAACTGACAAATGAGATGACTATTCTTCCAGCATTTTGAATATAATACTCTCTGTAGCAAATTGAGGTACATGATGGAAAGATGATTAAACTATTTTTGGTCGAACCATATTGGGTGATAACCATTAGCATTTGTGATTCAGAAAACCTCATCTAAAAAACACACAACACCTATTAACTTCCTTTCACTTGTTAGAGTTGAACTTAGGGTCTGGTTTAATGAATTATATGCTGATTAGATAGTAAACTAAAGAAACATTTTTCTAGTTTCCTAGGAATATTTCCATTCCCTTTTATGTGGGTTAAATGTGGCACTTTTAGTTGTGTATTGTCTTTACATTCCCCATTGCTCTGTCCTTGCTGGACTATAAAGATCATTTGATAAAGACATCAAGTTTTATGGGGTTATAAACTGCCTATGATTACAAGTGGAGAAATGGTTTGCTAATTTCCCAAGAATACGTCCTTTCCCTTCTTGAACGGTGAATCTAGCACTTTCGCCCCTTTTCTAGCTTTTAAGGTAGCTGGACTATGAAAACCTTGTTTTGTTTTTGCTGAGACTATGTGAATCGAGGGAATACGGGCCAAAAACCTTTTAAGGTAGCTTTTAATAATATCAAATGCAGGTTTCTACAATTTTGTGCTACTGTTGCAATGATTCTTTCAAGTTGACCTCGGTTACCTTTGATTTTCTATGTTCTTGCTTCATCATATTATCAAATTCCTGTTATTAAAATAGACTTGAATCTCAGTGAAAATTGTATAACTTGAACCCAAACCCACCTGGTTGGGATGGGTTCTTTGGTGTATGTATAACTTGAATATTTTTAGATTTTGGTGATGCAAGAAAATATTTGGTTTTGGAGTTTCTCTTTGTGGAGGTCTTTGTTCTTTCTATCAGCTTTGATTGTTTGACATCATTCTTTTTTCCAAACAAAATTTAAAAGATCTAGTCATCAGTTTGGACTTTAAAATTGTTGAACAAAAAACCTGATAATTTTTTAATTTATAATTTATTGAACTCATTAAAATAAATTTCCAATGAAATTGAAATTTATTATTTCAATGAAATTTAAAACTAAATAAAAAAGAAACGAAAAAAGGAAAAAAAAAACGACATTAACTTCATTAAAAATTATAAAAATTAAAAATTTCTTATTAAGAAATATATTAAATATTATAATTATGAAATTTAAAGGTAGAAGGAATTGAAATTTTATTTTCAATAATTTTTTTTTAATACTTCCTAAGGAGCGAATGCTGCAGCATCAAAGCAGCCAGTGACGGGACCTCGTATAAAACGCGAATCACACCAAGAGAGCACTCGCTCGTGTAAATGAAAAATGAATTGGCCTACGCAAATAACTGATCAATCCTTTCCTCCACTCCTCCAAGATTTCACGTCTTTGACACTTGAAAATTATGTACAACCTTGGCTTACACATATAAATGACAACCAGATGCCATAACTGCTTTTCGGTACAATGATGAAAACGAGTAACGGCACATACGAATCTTTTCGGTACAACATTACAGATATTCAAGAACGTAGGGAGGCAAAATTCGTGTAACCAATACGATGTCTTTAAAACTTAATGAATTAAGAAACAACATCATTTATTATTTAAGATCATCATCATTTATACTTTGACCATCAAAGCCACTATTTAAGCAATTTGAGTCATTCACTGGATAATCTTAGTGCCATCATACCCTTTTCAATTGTTTGTAAGCAAATTCTCTTGGATTTTTCTCTACCACTTGCTCCTTTAATATGAATTGATATGCGTTGCTCTTCATTAAGTCAGTTATCCCTCATTATTCTCATTGATGCTGCCTCAACATTATTCTCCTTTAATATTATTTATATCGATCTTTTATAACAATATTAGACAACAATCTCAACATCTTCATCTCCATCTCATTTTATGCTAATGTCACAGACGAATTTCTAGATACTTAAAATTTCAGATCCATAAAACATAAATAGCCTTACAACTAATTTACAAAAAATTTCTTTTACATAGGTTGCTTCTTTGGTTGGTCTCTTAATAGAACAGAGTAAGAACTGTCTTATAAGAGTTCTTTATTGAATATATATTCTTTTTTCTAATATTAACAGACCAAATCCCCAGGAACTATATAATATGCATTTCTTAGGGCTAAGCCAAAAATGATACACATCTTTCATCCCTTTTTCTATATTTACAGTTGCTGCTTTGGTTGGTCTCTTAATAGAACAGAATAAGAACTACATTTTTTTCTTCTTATTTTTATTTTTCTTATGTAATTGTTTTCCTTTTTTTTTTCTTATATATAACTCAACAACAGTTTCTAGCATTGAGATCCCTATTTTGATTAATTTAATATTGAAATATCCTTTGAAATTCATACACAACGTCAAAACCAAACACTGTAAAAAAAAAAAAACAAGTAATTGGCAAAAACTGAACTGCAGAAAAGAGACGGGAAATAGCTATATACCATGTACCATATCCCTTTAAATTCATATTACATGCAAGGAAGAACCTATTTAAAAAACACATTGAAGAAACCAGCTAAAAAAACTCCATTTGATTCAGGTTAATGTTGTCGGTCAAATCATTTGATTCCATTAAAGTGTATGTGCAAACAGTGTTAGCATATGCCAGCTTGACAACTAATGACCTATATATACAAAATTGAGGGAATGCAAATTTATTTGTAATATGCTGTGTCCACAATCCACAAGTAACATTACATCAACATTCTGCTTATTTATCAAAGCTAGCAAGTCTTGAAGCAACTTATATGATACCAGTCATGAAAACAAGGCACCTCAATCATCAAAACAGAGGAATAACAACATCATACAATTGGATGGTCACTAGCCTTGGTAAGATTTTTCTAAGTCAAGCTGATCAACTATTAATAGTACCCAAGAGGTGCATCAGATATATATATATATATATGAAAAGTATATATATGATCAATAGGTTGTTCATATGTTGCGCTAATGATAGCAAGGAAGAAACACGTCTTTCTAATATTGATTTCTTGAACATAAAGAATATATTACAACTATCCTAATCGTTAAGTTTTCCAATTCTATGGAGCACATTAGACCTTTCCTATTCATGATTGGGAAGTCTTCTTTATAAAACATGAATCCAGAATAGCATCATAATAATAGATTACCAAGCGATAAAACTACAAAGCTACAATTACCTTCAACAAAATCCCGTAGGAGACTCACCGGCACAGCCATCCGGTTTGGGCATCTCTTCAAACACCTGGCGTGCAGAATTCACGTCCCAGCAACAGATCCAAGCCTCCGTTGTTTGGTTTGCCATGGCGTTTCTTGGCGACCTCCACGTCCTCGAAGAATATCCCCAATAACATATCAGAACCATAAAGAGCTCGAGAATATACAACCAGATCATACCCACATCAAGATTGCGGGAAGAGAGAATGCACCTGATCAAGCAGTCGCCATCGCTACAGCTCGATGATAAAAAACGTGGGCCATCTGCGGTTGGGGGCCTTTAGAAGGCGGCGAAAACACAAGAACTAAAGAACACCACCAGTAACATCTCAGAACCATAAAGAACCCAAGAAAACACAACAGATCCACATCGAGATTGGGGAAGAGAGAAAGCACCTGATCAAGTAGCCGCTATCCCTACAGCACGATGATCCAAAACGTGGGTCATCTGAGGTTGGGGGCCTTTAGAATGCGTCGAACGCAATACTTAAAGAACAGCCCCAATAACATCGCAGAACCATAAAGCACCCAAGAAAACACAACAGATCCACATCTAGATTGGGAGAGACAATGCACCTGATCAAGTAGCCACCACCCCTACGGCTCGATGATCCAAAAACTTGGGCCCATCTGCGGTTCGGGCCACGAGGGTTTCAACCAGGCCTTTAGAAGGCGACGAATCTCGTACCGTTTCACGATCACCACCACTTCGTGGAAGACCTGCTCCCAAGAACATCTCAAAACCGCAAAGAACCCGACTAAACCCCCATCAAGAAACGGGACGAGAAAGCTCACCTGATCGAGCAACCGCGCAGCGAGATATAGATATCTACGATCAGCAACGGGAGCCATCGGAGGCTAGGGATTCGAGTAGGATTTCGACGGGGTTTCAACGAGCGTCGGGAGGTGTTCAGCCAACCATACCGTTTCTTGCGACCTCCATGGCCACCACCGTCGTCAGGGCTCGACGATCTGACACGTGAGGCATCGGAGATCGGTCCTCGAGTTCGCTAAGGAGGAGGAGGACGAGGTGCGGCGACGAGGGAAAACGGTGGCTTCTTGAGAGGAGATGGAAGTTAAACGCCGAAGCGATGCACTGGAAGCAATAAATAGGCTTGGCGCCCGAGGGATTATGTTCTCCCCGTGTATTTGCACGTATGTATGTACGTATGCAAGCATATATATATATATATATATATGATGTGCACTGCACATTTTGACACGGAGCCATTGCCACATCGAACGATAGGACACGTGTCGCCCTGGACTTGATTATGATGGAATTCGAAGAGTCGTTCGTCACTCTGTTGTTTTATTGGATCAATTAATTGGTGAGGTAATGGTCTTGGAATTCAATAATCACACATTATTCATACTGTAAACACACAATTAAGAGTTTAATTTAATTTCAGGCAGAAGGAAATCCAGTAGCGAAGCGAAGTTTTTGGTGGAGGTCCCGCCGGGCGCCACCGCTTTGTTGGCCATCTGCTTCAGCTCCGCCGCTCGCGCCCTCAACCTCTTCCCCTCTTCTCCTCTCAGCAACGCGTCCAAAGCCTTGAACACCCCGTCCTTCGTCATCGCCTCGCCTTCGAACCCGATGCCGTTCCCCCACGCGAGCATCATCGACCTGGCGATCATCCGGTGGTCCCCGAAGAGCGGCCGGCACGCCATCGGCACACCGGCGACGATCCCCTCCAGCACCGAGTTCCACCCGCAGTGCGTCAGGAACGCTCCGACCGCCGGGTGATCCAGCACCGCCAGCTGCGGCGCCCAGCCCACCACCATCCCCCTCTCCTTGGTCCGCTCCAAGAACCCCGGCGGCAGGCACTCCCGAGCCGTCTCCTTCAGTGACCAGATGAAGGGGACGCCGCTCGCCTCCAAGCCCTCCGCCAGCTGGGCCAGCTCTGCGGGCGGCGGGGTCATGATGGAGCCGAAGCTGACGTATGCCACCGCATCGGGGCGGTGTCGGTCGAGCCAAGGGAGGCAGCGGTTCGGATCGGGTGCGGGCGCGGAGGGCGGGGCCAGGATGTGGAAGGGGCCGATGATGAAGGGCTTGGGAAACACCGTGGCCAAGCTCTCCTCGATGGCGGGTTCAAGGCCTGGAATGGTGTTGAAGGCGATGGCCGCGGCTTTGGGGAGCCTGTCGGCCATGCGGTGGAGGAGGACGGAGAAGGGGGAGTCGAGTGGGCCGGTGACGACTCCTTCGGGGAGATCGCGGACTCGATGCACGGAGAGGCCGGGGATGAAGTCGAGGAGATCTTCCTCGCGGCCAGCTAAAGCTGCACACGAACAGAACCATCGTACCACATACATAAACACAGCACGTATAGTAACGGAGGAGATGTGCCTGCCAACCTTGGTCGCCAACCCCGAGCTTTCGGCGGAGCAAATCGGTGTGGAGATGGGCGGACAACGCCGCGGTGCCGCCCGGGCACAGCGGGACCCACGGCACCCTCATCTCCTCGGCCACCTCCCCGGACTTCCACACGAACGCGTCGCTCACGACGCAAATCACCGGCGCGCCGCCTGCGCCCGCCACCGCCGCCGCAATCCCCTCCTTCAGGTTCCCCGGCGTCGCCTCCAGGAACAGGCCGATCAGCTCGAGGACTTCCCGCGGCGGCGGAGATCCGTCAGGGACGCCGTCGGCGACGGGGACGAAACGGAGGTTCGGGGTATCGTCGGCAGCGGGGAGGGAGGCGAGGGCCCGGGCGGTGGCGAGGAAGGAGACGACGGCGGAGGGGGCAGCGGCGGCGACGGCGCGTGCGACGGGGAAGATGGCTCCCGGGTGGGAACCGAATGGGAATGCAACGAAGGCTACGTGCTGCTTGGATGCAGGGGATCCCATGGGGGGCACTGCGGCTGGTCGAGGAGGAGGGCGAGGTACGGATGTTTATAGAGGGAAGTGCAGGTGGTAGAGGAAGACGTGTTGTTGAGCGGCCGTCATAAAAGGTCCATAAGTGAGCTCTCGCCGTTGCCCGGTCTCACCTAATTCCACGGCTACAGAGGCGACGTGTCATCATCTTACGACAAAATGTTCTTACGAAGATGAAAAGATTTATTATTCGAATCACGACAATAATTGGACGGTTAGGTGGCGGACAACCATCAAGGGGCCACGCTGTCATTGTCGGAGCAAGTCAACCAGTCACGGACACATGTCCATATTTATTAGGCGCATACATCAACATTATGATTCCAAGTGCTTTTTTACATCACTAATACGGCCTCTCTCCGATGTAATTTCCAGGTGGATAATAATTACACGTCATGAACACACCACCACCGTCGCAGACGACGCGGGAGCATCCGAGGCGACGTGTGTCCTTCCAAACCATTTGGGTGTAGTGGCCGCAGATCCGGCCCGGGGCGCAGGCGTTGGCGGCGTACGAGTAGTCCCGCTCCTCCCCGGCCCAATTACGGACCGCGTCCAAAGGCCCCCACCCCGAGCCGGAACCCCAGAAGATGTTCTCGCCGAGCTCGAAGCCGCCGTCGGGGAACGAGTGCTGCAGCCGGCAGTCGGCCTTCCGTTGGGTGGCCCACCACCGGGCGTAGGACTCGAGGGTTGGGTCCCAGGCCAGGGGGAGCTCCCAGTGGGTAGCCCGAACCACGTTGTGGGCGTAGAGGAATTGGACGGCCTCCGCCCAGCATCCCCAGCACAGCGTCTTCGTTATGTTGTAGATGGTTTGGTTGATGGGGGGAGCCAGCAATGGCGAGGAGGCGTACGAGGGGCTCGTCGAAAAGCGGAGGAAGAGGAGGAGAAGCGTAAGACTGCTCATGGCGAGGGAAAGAGGAGGACGAGGACGAGGAGAGACGGCTATAATGGAGATAGCGAGGACGGCTATAAAGTGCGGCCGTGCGACTGTTGCTCTCGTGACTTGGGAATGAGCAAAGCAAAATTACCTTTTGCTGCCCCATTTTTCACTCGCAATCCTGACCGAGGAAGCTATTCTATTGGCCGATGTCGTCGTCCCCACTATGGGTCCCAGTTTCCCTCCAGTCATATCGTTTCGTTGCTGGGACCCGACAAATTGAGAGCAGATCCCTCCCGTGATTGCTATGTGGTTTGTTCCCCTGGACGGGTCATGTGACCATCTCCTGATTGAGGTGGCATCACGAGGGAAGTATACATATAGTTGACAATGTGGACTCAGAATCGAACAGTATGGGTTGAGACGATGAATGCAGTAAAAGGGTTTCTGACCCAAGACATTGCCATGGGGAATGTAGTTGCATGTGAAGAAGGTGTCGCCGGTGCTGCACGTCACCAGGGCGCAGCCGAGATGGGTGCTCCGCCTCCATCCACACCAACTGGGTGTAACGCAGGGTGGCTGGCACGAGTCGTAGTCGTAGAACCACATGAATGGAGTTAGTGAATGCGATGGACGTAGTTGGGCCGACACGACACGCCCCAGTAATTGCGAAGTCAGGCGTTGATGAAACCGTAGCATGACAATACGATAACGAGCCTATTTATTTCGTGTTATATAAGCGGAAGAGAATGTACACATGACGCCACTGGACTTCACATGGTCCCATGTGAGCGACTGGAAGTATCACTGGTAGGAAGAGATCGTACATAGCCATTAATTACCACCTTTAGTACTGTTCCTCCAATCTGTTTTCAGAGTACATATCCATATGCCCTGTTGCGCTGCATATTTATACTGCTAGTAGACAAAACCTATAGCTTGATTGCTGTTCTCACATCAAATTTTGTGTGTTATTTATGGAGCTTTTAAGTCGAACATTAATCACATTGCAATCCATGCAGATCCGATTTCAGCCCAAGTCAACATTACTGGGCCGATGAAGAGGATAGTGCAAAGAAGGAGGAGAAAGGTGTTCAACTAGAGACTAAGGTAGAACCTGCTACCAACATTGGATTCGGGAATTAAATTGCTGATCACCTGAACAAAATAGTTTAACATGTTTGACCTCCTTTTCACTGGTTACCAAAGAGGTTTAACATGGAAAGGAAAGGAAGGCTTGTGCTGCATCGTCCCCTTCCTTCCTTCTTTCCTTCCTTCCAACTCACTTGATGTGAATAGAGACTGGTGCAGAGCTGCTGCTGCTGACATGAGCTCTCTATCACATGCATCCCATTGGGAGTGCCAAGCATTGTACTCCTCCTACTCACATGCATCCCATTAATGGTGTTCCTTTTCCTCATCAGCACAATCTCGCTTTCCGGCCACGACATATGTCTCACGTAATGGAGAGCTCTCGCTGCTCCCCCCGACCTCCGTTCCGTCCTTCAATGCGCCACTCATTTATTCATTCTCGACGACAAGGAAATCTATGCAACTCCAACGACCAAATCCATACGCCCAGCTACAGAGGGGGGGAGGAGGAAATGGGCGGCAGAGCCCAAATCTTAACACATCGAAGAAAAAGAAGATGGACAGAAATGGTGGATTAATTTCCACATCAACTCGCTCCCACCACCACCACCACCACCACATCAGGAAGAACAAGAACAGAATGGAACGATGAAGAAAACAGAACCATCCATCTTGATCTAAACAAAGTCGCCAACACGTTTGGAGGAATCCATGTCTTATGAACTCGAGATCAAAGAAGAAAAGGTAACGAAAAGCTAGCTTGAAATCGAAAACAGGATAAAAGACACACCTATCCCATTTCCCGCACCGGCGAGCTCGCGCTTCTCATATCCAGTCCGATCAAACAGCGAGGAAGGTCGGGAAAGACTGGCACCTGTTCGGTTGCCCACACCCATTGAGCTCTCTCCTTACGGCATTCATCGTTCGATGTATCCGAACTGGGATTAGGGGTGGGCGGAGGATGTCAAGGGGGAGGGCTGGTTGTTGACGATGAACGGGTGCTGGAGGAGCTGCACCGCGGTGAGGCGACGCGCCGGTTCCTTCTGGAGGCAGTAAGAGATGAAGCTCCGGAACTCGCGGGAGGCGGTGGACGGCGCCTCCGGCGGATCAGCGTAGCAGATGGCGCACATGAGAGACGCCCAATCCCCCTGCCGGCCGAGGTTCTCGCCGAAGGGGAAGCGGCCGAGGTAAAACTCGAGGATGCTGAGGCCGAAGCTCCAGATGTCGCCGGCGTAGCCGTCATAGACACCGTGGTTGAGGTCGGTGTTGATCCGTTCCGGGCTCATGTACGCGATGGTGCCGACGGAGGAGTTGCAGGGGTCCATGGTCTGCGCCAGGATTCGGCTGACGCCGAAGTCGGCGATCTTGACGCGGCGGCCAGAGTCGATGAGAAGGTTGGAGGGCTTGATGTCGCGGTGGACGATCCTCCTCCGGTGGAGATAGGCGAGCCCAGCGAGGACCTGGCGAGCGACGTCGGCGAGGAAGGACTCGGATGTGATGCGGCGGCCTTCGAGGGAGCCGCCGTCCATAAACTCGAGCAGGATCTGGATCTCGCCGCCGTGGTCATACATGGCGTGGCACCGGACCACGAAGGGGTTGTCAGCGGTGCGGAGGATCTCGATCTCGCGCAGGATCTGGCGGCGGACGGCGTCCTCGTGGTTGCCGTAGATGACCTTGAGGGCGTAGTGACGCCCGGTGAGGCGGTGGCGGACCATCCACACGGTGCCGCCGCTCCCGCTGCCCATTCGTCGTAGCCGCTCGAGGTCGGACAAGCTCGGCGGCTGGGAGGAGGAGGAGGAGGAAGGGGGGCCAAGAGTGGGCTCCGCCGACGGGGCGCCGACAGTGGACGGGGCGGAGGGCGGCGGGAGGGGGAGGGGCACGGCTAGAGAGGGGTCACGCTGGGGGAGGGGGAGGGTTAGGTCTGGCCGGCGGCGTGGCCTGCTCGGGATGCCGGGATGACCCGGCCGGACGGGTGCCGGCCCGGGTCTCATGGCCGCTTATAATCAAGAAGAGGAGAAGAGCACACGCTTTATAACGATAGAATCGGAGCGAGAGAGAGAGAGAGAGCGTGGTGGGCGGTGGGTAAGGAGGAAGAGAGGAAAGGATTGAATGATTGAGAGAGGGTGGGTTTAGATTAGTGATTTCTTTGTTCTGTATTGTATTGCAAGGAGGCGGCTAGAGAGAACAGAAGCGGAGGCTGTCATTTTCTTATTAGATTGAGTTGGGTGTGAAGCAATGAGAGAAAGGGGAGGAGGAGAGATTTCAGAAATTAGATGGGTGTGGCGGTAATTGGAAAGGAGAGAAGAAATGGGGGAGTGAGGTGCCAAAAGGAACGATGGAAGTTAGAGGTCATCTTGCCGTCACATTATTCTATTATTTATTCCATTTTTCTACAACTCAAAAATCGATCTAAACAATTGTCAACCTTCTATTTTTCTAAATTTCTGATAGTTTTATTTTGCCATTAGAATAAGCTTAAATATTGTTTTAAAAAAAATTAAAGATAAACTGTTATCAACCAAGTTAATTGATACATTCAAATAATTATAAATTTATTTTTTTTCAATTGACTAATCAATCTATCACTTACAATATCGGAAAGTAACAAATAAACAGGACAACAAGTTCCGAGATAACTTTTCATTTCATTCTAATTAATATCCAATTGTCCTTGTCTTGGCCATTCAATGGAGTTATCTTCCAATCTTTCAATAAATTACAATCTCACATTACACATAACTTGGAAATAGACTAATTTTTTTTGTCTATCTATAAGAGTAAAAAAGATAATGATCTTAATTTTATTTATTTGAGAGATAAAAATTATGAGAAATAAAAAATAGCCTGGGAAATAAAGCTCAAGTTGTCATCCATAATCTAATCCTCATATGCCTAATATTGCTTTAAGAAAGTCGATGCAGGAATTCAGCTTCTTTTTGTAAAGAAGACATGGGAGAGAAAATAGTCGGTGTGAATTGATCCAAAAGGAAAACGTATCCAACTTGATGCTTGATTATCCAACCATACATGTGCTGTGCATCACATGCATCTTAAAAGAATTGGGCCAAACGACACAAGAAAAAAGTCAATGGAGATGGCACAGCTAGAGGGCCTTGTGTGGTAGAAGGTGCACATTGTGTTTTTGTCTTCATAGATATGGGATATTTGGGTCACATCCCATGTAGACATCATGTATCCAAATCACCCAATCGGATGGATCAGTACAATATTAATCATCTGGTCGTGTCAACGATGTTATTAGTTGTTATTACCTATCAGTCTGACCAATCATTCCAACAACAGTTCATCTAAAAATATTTACTAGTACTCCCAAATAAGTATGATCAATTATAAACAAATTTTAACAGAGAAGATAACTTAGAACAATATTTTAACGAAAGAAAACGAAGTATTACTACATGCATGTCTGTTGGCATAAAGCTTAAGCTCATGCATGTGCTAGAGTCTTTTTTAGATTCAACACCGGATCCAATTGACTTTTGACCATCGTCAGCTGAACTATGAAGTAGGAGCAGTCGAAATATAACCGAGAACAAATCTAAGTAGTACCTACTGTTGCACACCTTTATGCTGTATCCCACGAATCAGTACGATTCGATCATGTACGGTCCTCAGGGCAAGTGAGGTAGGGTTAGGGGGCTAGCTCTTGAGCTTGCACCTGTTGTGGTTGATCGTATCACGGTCCTGCACAATAAATCGATATCGGGAAAAAGAATTTTCGATTCGATCCCTATGATGTTTAAGTTAGTACGTGATCTTGTAGTGTCAAAAGTTAGATTCTCTTTCATCGAGTTAAGAGGTTGACATTTATACTTATGGAGACGTCCGAAGGTATGCGTGTTGTTAATGTCCATCGACCCGTTCGTTTCGGATGACATGACTCAATCCATCCAAAGCTCTGATGCACAACATCAACCCGTATAGTTCCGAGCGACACTGAGTCGTTGATGCACTTTACCAA